ACAAATTCCTTGCCCTCTGACATCCCTCCCTCCCTCCCCTCTTAGCCATACTAGCCCCTATGGGCTCCAGACCCATGATACCAAGGGGCTTCCATTCCCCGTCACAGCCTTCTGACCTGCGTCTCCCACTCGACTTCCTTCCGCCCTTCCTTCGGCTACAGTTCTGCTCAGACCAAAGCACAGGGGTGGAGCTGGAGATACCAGGGCTGAGCCCACGCTCTGCCACTTACTGCCTGTCAAGGTATTTTGCTGCTCTGAGCCTTGCCTAGGATTCTTCCCCCATGGGGCTGTGGGATGAGACAGGATTGTCAGGGCTTAGCATTCGGTAGGCACCTGGAGGAGGTGCTGGGGTGCTGGCTCCTCCTCCGCTTTCCCACCTTTCTGGCCTTTGGTGTTTCTCTACCCTGACAAGGTCCTCCCTGTCACATCGCCCTCTTCATTTCTTTAGAGTTGTCCATTTATTGACACCCTGCTAAGTGCTAGGCCCTGTTCTAGGCACTGGAAATACAACACGAATGAAACAGGCCAAAATCTCTGCCTTGAGGAGCTGGCATTTTGGCAGAAAACGGCAATAGGCATTAATATAGGGTAGAAAGAACAGCTGAGGGACCAGCAGTTAGCGTAATGGCTATGTCGCTGGACTCCCATGAAACCGACCGTGGTTCGAGTCCCAGACCCAGTGGCTTTAACTCACACCGGGCGCATGTGTGTGCGTGTCCAAGATCCTGAGAGGAGAATGGAGGAGGAGGGATTGTGGTGCGGCTATCCCCCCTGGGGGGTGAATTCTTGCTTTCTGTCTCTCTGTCTCTCTCTGTCTCTCTTTCTGGCGAACGCACACACCCTGTAGCATTGTGCAAAAAACCCATAAAAAAAAAAAAAAAAAGAAAAGAAATAACAGCTGACTCTCAAATGTCCAAAGAGAATTCTGCTACCTGTTCAGTGTGTGAAGGGTGAAGATTAAGAGCATGAAGTTTAGAGTCAGAAAGACCCGGTTCTAGCCCGATCTCTGGCACTTAACAGCGACAGGAAAGAAATCTCCCTGAGCTCCTTTCTTCATTGGTGAAAGGTGCGTTGTTACGAATCTCACCATGCTGTTAGGGATTACGTGAGATTATACGTGGCAATTGCTCAGCAGAGCTCTGGCCCCCACGACAAGCACTAAACAGGTCTCACATACAAGACTGGGGAGCCCTTGCCACCTTACGCTGACCCCTTTCTTGCTTGCTTTTATTCTTCCATGAGGCCACAACCATGTAGCTGTTCCATCCAGAACATCTTCCTTTTTTTAGGAGAGGTTTTTGCTATAGGGCACATGCGCTCACCAGACAGACATAGAGACAGAAAGCGAGAAATCCCCCCCCCCCGGGGGATGGCCACGCTGCAATCCCTTCTCCTCCATTCTCCTCTCAGGGTCTTGGGCACACACGCACACGTGCCCGGCGTGAGTTTTAAGCCACCGGGTCTGGGACGTGAACCGCGGTCGACTACATGGGAGTCCAGTGACACAGCCATTACGCTAACTGCTGGTCCCTACAACATCTTCCTTTTAAGCAGCTTTTCTTGTACTTACAATTGCTCAATGTTTTATGATTAACTTTGTCGATCGGTTCATTTTGTCTATTTATTTTCCCTAGGTGCCTTGCCTTTCTAACTACTGGGTTGTTGGAAAAGTCATGACACATTTTTGCATAGAGAAGCACAGAAAAAACATGTCATGACTCTCCTGACAACCCCATAAACTCTTTGAGGTGAGGGGTCGTGATCTGTGTTACTTGTATCTACTTCCTGCACCCCCGCCACCACAGAATCAGGACGTGGGGAGGCTGCGTGACACCTGCAGGGCAGAACTTGACCACGAGGGAGGAAACAGGCAGAAGGCGTGGTGGGGTCTGAAAGCTTCGGGGAAAGGCGGCAGCAGGAAGGAAAGCAGGAACAAAAGGGAGCGGTCTTCGGGGGGCTCTGGCTCTTGCTCCCTACCCGACTCGGGGTCCTGTGGTGCTGCCTTTACCTCTGTCTTTCCCATTCTGCATCTTCTCTTCGTCTTCCTCTGCACCTTCCTCTGCTGTGAAAACAAGTCCAAGGAGGCCAGTGACCCTTCAGCACAGCACGGGCAGAGAAAGAGGGGGACGGAGTTTATGAGGCTTGGGCTGAAACGCTGCTACGGGCTCATAGCTGCAGGCTCCAAGGGCACTCAGCTCACCTCATCTGTACCTGGCGAGGTCTACACTGTGGCACTGCTTAACAGGAGCCCGGGAGTCCCAAGACCAGAAGCAGAACTGCCTGATGTCACCCACCCTCCTCTGGCTCCACTGCAGGCTTCCCTGGTGACCACGGAGAGGGTGCCCTCCTGGGTCACCAGGCCTCCTCTCCACGCCGGCTTTCCCTAGAGTGCTGACACCTACCGGGGATGCTTCTCATACACATTCAGATCGAGAAAGCAACCATGAAACTACACAGCAGGAGAATACCTAAATTAATGCTGGTTTCTGTAAAAACAAAGACAAAAAAGCCCTAGAGGTTTTCCCTGATGACAAACTTCAAATGACTTTGCACAGTGCAAAGTGGCGTCATGGAAGAGCTAGTGCCACTAAGGCTGCATTCCCAGGAGCCCACTGGACAGGTGGCAGGTCCCCTTGCTTCAGAGGAGTGTGCATGGCCCTGGGTGCTCATTTTCAGTGGGGGCTTGGAGAATCTGGCCCCATCCCACGTGGTCAAGCGGGATGGTCACGTGAACATCCTGGCACATCTGGAATGACTGAAGGAAGAGAAGATGCAGGAAGGGACATGTTATCTGCCATCAGACGCTTCTGGAAGGCCAGCCTGCGGGGGGAGTGAACTTACTTTGTGTAGTTACAGGGGAACGAGGATGATTCAGTTACAGAGAGGCAGATTTTGACTCCCCTGTAAGGCAGAACTTTCCGGTGATCGAGCTGGTCATGAGTGAGCTCACTGGAAACATTCCAACAGCGGACTTTTCCACTGGGGGCAAGTTGGATTCAATGACTCCTAAGACCCTTTCTATCTCTAGGATACTATCATTCTTGAAAAGATATTTTTTTCCTAAAAAATTATTTTACATAAATGTATTTATTTTTAATTTGACCAGAGAGGGACAGAAGGAGAGAGTGAGAGAGAGAGAGAGAGAGAGAAGTGAGAAAGCAAGCCACCAGGTCTGGGACTCGAACCACGGTCAGCCATGTGGGAGTCCTAGGCCCTTAACCGCCACCCCACCTGCCGGCCCTTGAAAATATTTTCTTAAAAGGTGAGGTGGACAAGCGCTGGCTCTCTGTGCATGGACACGTATCTGTACCGTACTGCATAGAATGCATGTGCGGATAACCTGAGTATCAGACGGGAGCGAGTGACTTCTGCGGTTTGCAGGGACACTGCCACACGAGGATCTAGTCCAGGGCTACTACAGGCTTCAGTGCTTGGCAGAGCAGAGCACCAGGGATGGGGACTCTCGTGGGACTCTCGGTTTGACGTCTTGTCCCGGGTGTGGGAAGGGCACTGGCTAATGATATGAAGAGCTAAGTTCTAGGACCAGCTGGCCCTTTCGAGCTGTGTGACTTGAGGCAAGTCATTTTTCTCATCACACACATTTCTGAAGTACGGGGACTGGACAAGGTAATCTTCAAGGAAACTTCCAAAGCACATCACATTTTAAAAAAACATTTTAAAGGTTTTTTTGCTATAGGGTGTGTGCACTTGCTAGAGAAAGACAAGAGAGAAGGAGAGAGAGAGGAAAAATGAGAAATCATCCCCCAGGGGGTAAGGCCACACCACGATATCTTCTGCTCCTCCTCCTGGGATTTTGGGCACACATGCACACACTTGGTGTGATTTTCAAGCTGCCGGGTCCAGGGCCTGAACCATGGTCAGCCATGTGAGAGTCCAGCACCTTACCCTCCATGCCATCTGCTGGCCCTACACCACATAGTTTTGTTAAAATCATCCTTCTCTATGCTAAGAGATTGCCGAGCAGCCCTATGAACTTTTAGTTTCGGTGCAGCTATTAGCTCTCTGCCTCACATTTGATGATGTCCAACTGCCTATCACTCTTGTGTGAGGAACTCATAACCCACTTATTTTGCATAAACTCTCCTAAATGGCCCACGAGGCACAAAAGTAGTTAACTTCCACGGCCTGAAATCCCCTAAGAAATTCCCTCTGAACGTGGGATTTCTGGCACCCATGGGGAGCAACAACAGGGAAGGGACCTCATCACCTTCCCGCCATCCCAAAGGTCACCACTTCTGTCTGGTGTGAGGGTGGAGAGGAACTGTGCTTCTCGCGAGGGTTCAGAACCAGAACCAGAACCGAGAACGGCACCGCAGTGCCCGTGTTTGAGCAGGCCATGGGAAAACTGCTTTAGATTTTTACTTACTAACCCTGTTAAGCTACTTCTAAGTACTTAAAAACACTACATTAGGTGAAAAGAAACAGTGCTCAGAAAGAGAACTGATTTGAGAGGACTTCAAAAAGTTTATGGAAAAGTGGAATTAAAGTTGGTTTTGGTGCAAAGCTATTTTGAAATCTATGTATAGCTTTTCTTTATCTTTTTTTTTTTTTAAAAAAAGAATTATTTAACTTTATTTATTTTAATTTTACCAGAGAGGGACAGAGTGAGTGAGAGAGACAGAAAGTGAGAAAGCAAGGTGCCAGGTCCAGGACTCGAACCATGGTTGGTCATGTGGGAGTCCAGCGCCCTTAACTACCATTCCACCTGCTGGTGCCCATGTATAGTTTTTCTTTTTTTGGAGAGGTTTTGCTAGAGAGCACGTGCGCTCGCCAGAAAGAGAGAGACAGAGAGACAGAAAGCGAGAAATCATCCCCCAGGGGGATGGCCACACTGCAATCCCTTCTCCATTCACCTCTCAGGATCCTGGGCACACATGGACACGCACCAAGCGTGAGTTTAAGCCGCCGGGTCTGGGACTTGACCTGTGGTCCACTACGTGGGAGTCCAGTGACATAGCCATTACGTTAACTGCTGGTCCCTGTAGTTTTTCGTAACACTCATTTCCTATGAACTTTTGGAAGACCCTGGCATAACACAGAATTCCCAGCACTGTGAACTGATTCCTGAACCACTGGCAGCTGCATGGCTGATGGAGCCAGGGGACTCTCGGAGATGTGACTGAATGGCCTTTTCTTTTTTCTGCCCTGGGCTTTATGTCAGGAGAAAACGCCACGAGGTAGAGGTCTCCAGGGAGCTGCTGAAGTGGCCAAGTGGCCAAGTGGTGGAGAGACCGAGAAAGAAGTTACAGACATGCGTGAGCGTGGGGCGCGGAAGAGGCGACAGACGCGGGAGGTGAACTGCGAGGCAGTCCGAGCCTAGTCACGGAGAAGGAGGGAGGAGGGTTTCAGAAACAAGTCAGACGGGAGAGAGCAGAAAGGCAACTGGCAGCAAGTCTGGAAGCTTTCGTGACTGGTTCGGTTCTAGACGTCCAGGAAAGCTTCTGAACGAGGCGGTCCGTGAGGCCTAGGGAGAGAGCGGCTGCGGACGAAGCAGCAATGGAGGGCAAAGTGGGTGAGCAAGGGGCCTTGCTGTACGGAGAGATCTGCACGCCTTCAGACTCGGAGCCGCGCCTGCTCCCAGGCTGTGGGCTTACGATGTGCCTGAGTGTGCAGTGCTTGTGCGGCCGGGCGTGTGGGCAGCTCTCTGGGTGCAGGTGTCCAGGGCGTTCCTGGAAGGCAACAGCTGAGGAGTGAGAAGAGGCGTGTGTGCCAGGTGACGTCCCACCAGTGCCGGGAGGACATGAGATGGGCCTGGGGACAGAGGGGAGGATGTGAGGCCGGGGGAGCTCTGAGTGTCACCTGAATGGAGCTCCTTCACCAGGGATGACATGGTGTTGGTGATGGAGTCGGCGGCCACCAGCAGGTCATTGCGGAGATTTCTCCTCGTACCTGAGGAGAGTCAGAGCAGATGGCGATGCCAGGGTGGGCGGGCACAGAGCTGAGAGAGTGGGCACGTGCCTCAGTCCTGCCGGCCCGCAGACACAGGTGCAGGTGCCTGGGGGGTGGGCCGTGGCAGCTCCACCTGCCCCCGGGTACTTCGCAAGCACGAGGCACCCAGTCCCTGCTCTCAGCCACCGCTTCTCTGCCCCAAGGGCAGGCTCCTGTGCGTTCCAGGCTGGGCAGCCACCGCTCAGTAAGAAGAGCTGGGTTCTGGAACACGCATCACAGCAAGGCAGTCCTTAGCCTAACCGGGACTCCGCCTTCCAGTGCCACCACCTCCCCCTCCCTGGCACCAGCCCCAACAAGACTTCCTTCTCTGCCCCCGTCACACGACCGTGGCAATCCCATGCTGCGGCGTCTGACGTGCGCTACCACTCTTCCTGCCCCTGCCATGCTCGAGACCTTGGAGGCTGAGCACAGGACTCTGAGAATTTTCCATCCACTTCCTCTGGAGGAGGCAAAGCCCAGAGGACAAGCACTTCCCACAACCCAGAAATGGGAGCACGGGACCCAGAACCCCAGGAGGCCTGTTCTCTGCACGCACTTGATGCCTACAGACGCCCCACTGGAGAGCAGTCCTCAGCTGGGGCTGGCCCTGGCCTTACTCCTGCTGTATGAAAATCCAACTTAAGCTCAGAGCACAGAATAAACAGAACTGGAAACAGCCCGGCAGGACTCCTGTACGTGCGTCCAGGCCACAGCCCCCGTCGCACCCTGCTCCAGAGACTCACCTTGTGCAAATGCCTCCTGCACGTCTCCGCCAACGCCGCTCAGGGAGTCCTGTGGACAGTGGGTGGGGGTGGAGCCAGCTGACGTGGAGCGGACGGGCATGGGCATTGGGCGGCCACCTCCATGCGTCGGCGACGTGTGCGGCGATCCTGTGGCCTGAGCCTGGGAGGACCAAAGGGATCAGATATGTCATCGCAGGCATCCGACTCGTTGAGGAAGGGGCAAGCCCTGTTTCTCAGTGGATCTGGGCCAGCCAATGGGCTTCAGTTCATGTGGGACGGATTATATTTGAAAGGAAAGAATCGTGCTGCCTCCAGAACTAGAGAGAGGTGGAAAGAGAGATGGAGAGGGGGAGGGGAGGGGGAGAGAACACCGTCTGAATAGACCGAGTGAGAGTGGGACTTGCAGGGGACAACTGAGCTGAGTGGCAGGGCCAAGGATCTAGGCTGCCCCACATGGTGGAGGCCACACACGCACACAAGCATCTTTCACTTTTATTTGCAAACATGTTCATGTACACATTCTCATCTGATCCCCTGCCCCAGCCCCCCGGATGACCTGTGGGTACAATAGGCACACAACACTATCCCTTTTATAGAAGAAAAATAGGACGAAAAGATCAAGAGCGTGTGTCAGGCACACAGCCTGCTGTTGGGCCTGGAGTCCAGCCTCGGGCGGCAGGGCAGGGCCTGTGCTCTGCAGGCTGCAGCTCCTACTCTGAGCACATCTGTGTGTGGGCAGGACACCGGAGGCTGCTGGCATCTTCAGGGCCATCAAGCTACACCTACCGAACACACCCCCGGAGGACTCTTGGGGGGCCACCCATAGGGACCCGGTGAGAATGGACACGTTAAGTAGAAAGCAAACTTTCCTTGGATGGCCCTGGTACAGTTTTAGAGGAAGTTTGGAGCAATGGATAAAACAGATTAAAGAGGAAAACCCATCAAAGGCAGCTCACTGAGCTCTAGGTTCTGCTGCTCTGTGGAGAAAGGGGAACTCTGGCCTCTGGATGGGTTTTCTGCCAAAGCAAACTGGGAAAATATAAGCCAAGGTGTGAGAATGAGCTCCAATGAAGAGAACTATCTTCTGGGATTCTGGCTCAGAAGCCCCCTGTGCACACAGAACCCACCCCACACAGGATGCATGTGCAATGCCTCACCTCCTGCTCCAACCACGTGGGTGCTAAACAGAAATGGTTTGCTCGCCATGGTTTGGCTCTTTGTTTGAATCATTTGTGTATTTTAATTTGAGAAGTTAAAGAAATACAGAAAACTAAGAGGGATAATGCATGAAACCGCCCCAAATTGATAATTGTTAATGTGTCAAATGTATTTTAACTTAAAACTGCTGCAGATAACAGATCCCTTTGACCACCACTTATTTCCAGTCCTCGTTCCTTCCTTTTATCTCTTTAGAGGCAACCATTATCAAAGATTTGTGAAGCTTTTCACTTATGTGTACATATGTAATTATGAATAATACATGATAGTTCATGCTTTTGAATTTTGTATGAATGGTATTATACTGTACATATCATTTTGCAATTTGCTTTTATCACTTACTGATACTTTGAGAGAGTTCCATGATGCAAATAAAGATGACCCTTATCTCATATCATCTATAAAAACTCATGATGGGTCACAGTAACTATAAGCGACAAAACTATAATATTTCTCAAAGAAGACATAAGAAAAATATTTGTGACCTTGGGTTATGCAAAAATTTCTTAGCTATAACACCAAAATCATGGTAAGCTGGCATTCATCAAAACAAAAAGCTTTTGCTTTTCAAAACACATTATTAAACATCATATGGACAAATCAACTCAAAATGGATCAACCAAGTATGAGAGCTAAAACCCTTAGAAGAAAACACAGGGGGAAAGCTTTGTGACTTTGGATTAGGCAGTGCCTGTTGAAATATGACACCAAAGTACAAGCTACAAAAGAAAAACTAGACAAACTGTACATCATCAACATTAAACACTTTAGTGCTTCACAAGATACCATCAAGAAAGTGAAAAGACAACCCACAGAAAAGTAAAATCTTTTTTTTTTTTTTGGAGAGATTTTCACTGTAGGGCGCGTGCGCTCGCCAGACAGACAGAGAGAGACATAGAGACAGAAAGCGAGAAATCACCCCCCAGGGGGGATGGTCACGCCGCAATCCCTTCTCCTCCATTCTCCTCTCGGGATCTTGGGCACGCACGCACACGCGCCCGGCGTGAGTTTTAAGCCACCAGGTCCGGGACGCGAACCGCGGTCAACTACATGGGAGTCCAGCGACATAGCCATTACGCTAACTGCTGGTTCCCAAAAGTAAAAACTTTTTGTAAATCATATATATGATAAAAGATCTTTGTCTAGAATATATAATGAGCTCTTGGGATCAACAGATAAGCAAAATGGTTATGTCACTGGACTTCCATGTAGGTCTTGACCTCATTTAGAGTTTTGGACCTGGCGGCTTAAAACTCATGCTTGGTGCATGTATGTGACTTCCCAGAATCCGGAGAGGAGAATGGGAGAGATGGGATTGTAGCATGGTCATCCCTCATGGGGGGTGAGTTCTTGCTTTCTGGCTCTCTGTCTCTGGGTCTTTCTGGTGAGTGTACACGCCCTATAAAAAGAAAAAAATTCTCCCTAAAAAAAAAGAACTCTTGGGGATGGCATGTGGCATGGTGGTTAAGGGCGCTGGACTCTCACATGGCAAACCGCAGTTCAAGTCCCAGACCTGGTGGCTTGCTTTCTTACTTTCTCTCTCTCTTTCTCTTGCTCATTCTTGCTCTCACTCTGTCCCTCTCTAGTCAAATTAAAAAACAAGCAAATAAATAAATAAAGTTAAATAAAATAATTAAAAAATTTTTTTTTATAAAAGAACTCTTGGGACCAGCAGTTAGAGTAATGGCTATGTCGCTGGACTCCCATGTAGTCGACTGCGGTTCGCATCCTGGACGCGGTGGCTTAAACTCACGCCGGGTGCGTGTGTGTGCGTGCCCAAGATCCCGAGAGGAGAATGGAGGAGAGGGGATTGTGGCATGGCCATCCCCCCTGGGGGGTGATTTCTCGCTTTCTATCTCTCTGTCTCTCTCTGTCTGTCTGGCGAGCGCATGTGCCCTATAGCAAAAACCTCTCCAAAAAAAAAAAAGAAAGAAAAGAACTCTTACAACTGAAAAATAGACCCAATTTAAAAATGGGCAAAGGGAGGCAGCAGATGGTGTAGCAGTTATGTTACTGGACTTTCACATGGCCGACCATGGTTTGAGGAGTCCTAGATCCAGTGCCTTAAAAATCATGCCGGACACGTGTGTGTGCACGTGCCCAAGATCCTGGGAGGAGAATGGAGAAGGGATTATGGTGTGGCCGCCCCCTGGGGGAGTGATTTTTCACTTTGCCTTTTACTGTTTCTGTCTGTCTCTCTTTCCAGTAAGTGCATGCCTCTTAAAGCAAAAACCTTTAAAAAACAAAATGGGCAAAGGATCTAAATACACATTCCTCCAAAGATGTATAAACATCCAATAAGCACATGAAAAAGATGCTCAGTATTATTAGACATCAGGGAAATGCAAATCAAAACCACAATGAGATACCACTTTATAACTATTAGGATGACAGAGAATAAAAAAGACTGATGATAAGTCTTGACAAGGATGTGAAGAAACCAGAACCCTTACACACTGCTGGTAGAAATGCAAAATGATATAGCTTCTTTGGAAAATGGTCTGACAGTTTCTGAAAAGCTGAACCACTGAGGGAGCTTGATGGCGGCACGGGGTAAATGTGATGTTCTGTATCACCAGCCCACGTGGGAAGGTTCCAGGTGTGCATACAGAGGCCTCCCTGAGTAACTCAGGCATATGTGTGCACCCATGATCAGAGCTTGCGGAGGCTGACAGTGGTCTTGATGCCACAAGATCCTTTTGAGGGTGCTATCTCGCTCTCCATCTTTTCTCCAATTCATGGGAGAGAGAAATAAACTTAAAAAGAAAAAAAGTTAAATATGATCCAGAAATTCCACTCTTAGTTATATACCCAAGAGAAATGAGAACACGGCCACACAAAAATCTGGACCCAAGTATTCACAGCAGCGTTATTCAACACAGCCAAAAAGGAAAACAACTCAAATGTCTATCAGCTGATGAATGACTTAAATAACATGTGGTATAGTCATATAGAAATGAAGTAGCTGGCAATAAAAGGAAAATATACGCTACAACCTAGGCCAGCCTTGAAAACGTCTGCTGAATGAAAGGAGCCAGTCACAAAAGACCTCATATCGTATGATTCCATTTATATGAAACGTCTAGAACAGGCAAATCCATAGAGACAGAAAGAAGATGAGAGGTTGTCTGGGGCCAGGACAAGGGGGTTTGAGAAGAATGAGAAATGACTGCTGATGGATACGGGGTTTCTAAGATTGACTGTAGTACTGCTCGCACAACTCTGTGAACATATTAAAACCCACCAAATTTACACTTTAAAATAGTGAACTGTATGATATCTGAATTATATAAAAGTACCACTGAGAAAAATAAAAAGAAACCACAGACTGGGAAAACATATTTACAAATTGTACCTGGTGAAGAGCTCATGCCCAAAACACATAAAGAGTTCACCAGAACACATAAAGAACTCTCACAACTCAATAAGAAGATAAACAATCCAGTTACAGAATGGGCAAAGATTTGAATAGACATTTCACCAAAGAAGATGGACAAATACGCTAATAATAAGATGAAAAATGTCCAATATGAGCAGTCACTGGGAAACAGAAATTGAAAACAGGCACAAATGCCACTTACCACCCACTGAAGTAGCTACAGTTGAAAAGACTGACAAGGACATGGAGACCTGAAACCCTGTATTAGTTGATGAAACTGAAATGAAGTTACTGGGTGAGCAGGTGGCATGGAAGTTAAGGCACTGGATCCCACATGGCCAACTCCACAGTTCAAGTCCTGGACCCAGCGGCTTGAAAATCACACTGGGCAGGGCCAGTGCATGGCATGGTGGCTAAGGTGCTGGATTCCTACACAGTTGACCATGGCTTGAGTCCTGGACTTGGAGGCTTGCTTTCTCACTTTCTAACCCTCACACACCCCTGAGCCCACATGCCCTATAACCAAGTAAAAAATAATAAATAAAATTATTTTTTTTAAAAAA